ATTAATAAAGTTTTAATAAAAGTAAGTTTAAATAATTACACATTTATATGCACCAAGCAACACTTTATTCGAATTATCATAGACATTCGAAATATCGACGCCGATATTTCGAATGTCTATGATAATTACGACATGCATATCTATCCCCAATTAAGTATTAAAGTTCATATGCATTGTTACACCTGAGGATTAGGATGTAAATGCCTCATTTCCGGTAAACAGGATCTCCGGTTCTCTACACTCACCATACGAAACACAGCAGTATTTACGCTGGTATTCACACACATCATTCAACACGTATCAGTGTAGTGATGATTATATCAGCAAAGAATATAAACAGAAATCGTTAAAAGCTTAATGTTATACTTCTATCAGCAATGAAATAATTATTTCGAGGAGCGGTGTTAAGTCAATCTTTTAATGACTCACTACGATTTGGCAGTGCACTTTCAAAACAACGAATGTGTCAGCGCCGCGAGGTAATCGGTATTCCTTATGAATCTCTCAATATCTCAGCAACGATTCTCGTGTTTGTGATTGAAGATTTTGAATCAAAAACACGATATTTTGAAGAGATCGAAAGTTGAAAATACCACTCAAACGTTTCACAATACTAAATTGTTTTGACAACGACTACGCTAATAGATCCATTGTTTTATTAAATAAATTACTGACATAAATTTTAGGTACTTTTGAAAAATAATATCACGCACGTACGTTTTGTGGCATACAAAAGAATTGTCCATTATTTTTGTACGTAATACGTAATTTTTTTATTCATTAAATTTTATTTTATTACCTATTTACTTGAAAATTTTAAGTGATTAAAAGTTACAGCCTATGTACGTGTCTCGGCTGGGCATAGGCTTCCTTTAACTTCTGAGAGAGAGTTTAAGGGAAAGGAAGTGTTCGCCGCGATGAGTGTTCGCGGCTTCGAATTTCTTCATAAAATATTCTTTTTTATTTCTCAGACATGCAATTTTCTCGCGATGTTTTCCTCCACCGTGGAGCACGTGCTAAATCAGTACTTAAAATTGCAATAACAAATTTCATTGGTGCCAGCGGAGATCAAGCCCGGTTTGATCGCGTACCTACTGTAAAATTTACAGCAAGCACTAAGTCCCTCAGCTACCAAGACTCTATGTTAAAAAAGCTTTATTTATTACATTTTTATATTATACTAGCTGCAGCCGCAACTTTTTATGCTAGGAATTTGAAAAAGCCATTTTACTCAATTAGACTATGTATTCATACTGAAGGGGACCAACATATCTATGCAAGTAGTGTCGCTGAGCTTACTTGTTTGGTATTGGATCTGTTGTCTCCGTGTCAGTGACTGTAAGGGACCAACATGTCTATGCAAGCAATGTTCGCTGAGCTTACATGTTCGGTGTTGGATCTCTCTGTATCAACGACTAAAATGGATCACATGTCATGCAAGTAATGTTCGCTGACTTACTTGTTTGGTGTTATAATTAAGACACGCTGTAATGGATTCCTTTATTGCCTAAAAGTTCGTCTCGGTAGGAATCACTCACTTACTTATTGTTACCGCCAAACCAAAATTTAAATCGTAAAGCCGGCTATACATGTTTTCCGAGCGAAGGCGAGCACCAACGTATAGACAGTCCATTTGTCCAGCCTCGCCATTGCTCGAAGACGCTCGCATAGATGGCCGAGTACAGGCGAGCGCCAACGTGTATACGATTTTTTGGCGTGCCTTGCCGCCACTCAGGATCGCTCGCTACGACTCGTCCACTTCGGAACAGTGTCGGTTTTTCCGCACAAATCAAAGGCGCTCCCCTGCATTTGGCAAGTCGCGTCCACACGTTAGTCGGCCATGTCAGTTACAGCTTGGCGTCCGGTGAGATATTGATTTAATTAAGTTGCAACTTTAAAATAATTTCGACAAGCTCTCTATACTAACGAGGACATCTTTGAGTGTTTAACTTTACTGCGGAGTACACTGATATAATAATTATATGCACATGTTAAATAAATAGCAAAAGCTGCAATTACTTTTACATCGTCCATGTCATATCAATTCTCAATGACGACTAATTACGGCCAACATGTGGATAGCTCCACAAAAACTCGTGAACATTGGCCTTGGAATTGTTCTCTTTCGAACTTGACCAACGTGTAGACTGTAGCACTCGACTTGTATCAATTTGCCTACGCTCGCGTTGGCTAAGGCTTGGCCAACATGTATTGCCGGGGTTAGATGCGCACTTACCATAGTATGACCACTCCGAAATGCGTCCATTCTCAAATGAGTGAGCTCACTCATTTGCAATCAGTGCTCATTTGTACGCGGTGACAGCTAGACGTTGCACATTGGAACTAACGCGCTAATTTCACCAAAAAAAAACTCTCAGAATGCCATCGTGTCCCTTTCGAAAGTGTAATAATAATTATAGAAACACAAATAAAGGTGTAACATTTCACTCATAAGTATCTATATATTATTGAATATTGAATTTATTTTATGATGTCATAAAATGCCGATGTCAGAAAATACCATGAAATAATTACGGGCAAACGGAAACTGTGCGACAGAGAAAGTAGTATACGCAATTTCCGTAAGATAATAAGAGTTGACACTATTGTCTCAGTACTCTTAGTAACCAATTCAGTTAGATACTCGGATATACCAAGGAAGCGGTTTACAAAGGGATCATCTATAAATTGACATAAACAGACTGAAATGCCGTGGTAGCGCACGCATTAGTGTGCGCGCGTCAGCGTCTTACAAACGCACACATTCAAAAATAATGAAACAGTTTTTCAAGGTGAAGGCGCATCTAACGATTTAAACCTTTGCCAAATAGCAGTGGTTCCATTGTTGTGCTCCGACCTGACGAGTATCGAGAGCCAGTATAATTATAGGCTGTGAGGCATTGAAACACAAACAAATACTTTTTATTCAATGTAAATTCTAAACAATACTTAGTCAATTTTTTCATTTACCACATTACATCCATTCCATCTTAGTCCTCAGTGCTCATAACTTATCTTTTTTTTTATAGAAGAGGGGGCAAACGAGCATGCGGCTCACCTGATGTTAAGTGACTACCGCCGCCCATGATCAACCGCAACACCAGGGGAATTGCAAGTGCGTTGCCGGCCTTTTAGAAAGGAGTAAGCTCTTTTTTTGAAGGTCCCCAGGTCGTATTGGTTCGAAAAAATCGACGGTGGTAAACTATTCCACAGAGAGGTCGTACGAGGAAGAAAACTCCTTGTGAAACGCTCAGTGGTGGACCGCCAAGCATCCAGATAGTCAGATAGCCTTCCTTGTTTGAAATTGCCTACTGGTGTCCATTGGCCGCAGTAGTCACTTACCATCAGGTGGACGGTAAATTTATTTACCACTTAAATTTTACAAAAAAAATATCGCAATGATAGATTCGATTAATTGCAAAGGCTCTCCTTTTTCTTAGACTTCTGAATCGCGCCGTAAATGTCTAACGTCTGCGATATATCTCTCCCATTTCAGATAGCATTTGCCTTAATTTCTACGACTGGCGGACAGATTGACGACCACAAGGATTCACGATCGCCGCTCTGAATATTTTACGTCTGGTGTAAAATTTAATCAAAATTAAAAGCCAATAAAAATTAAGAGCCGTGGTAGCTCAGATGGTTAGCGCTCGCTGTGAATTTCACAGTACGCGAGATAATTGAGTTCGATCCCCGCCAGCACCAATGAAATTTTTAACTGTAATTTTAAGTAATGATCTATTACGTGCTCGGCGCTGAAGGAAAGCATCGAGCGTAAACCTGCATGTCTGAAATATAAGAAAAAAAATTCGAGGACACGTGAAGCACGCCAAAACGCATTGGGGTCACTCACCGAGAGATCAAGAGTTGTAGCACAAATGAATTGGCTCGACCGAGGACCACTCTTTTACAGAATACCAACGTAAAATAGTAGCTTAATGCTGCTGTATTTCGTATGGTGAGTGTAGAGAACCGGAGACCCTTTATACTGGAAACGAGGCATTCCATCTTAGTTCTCACAGGTGATAACGCATCTGCATTGTGATTCATTATCGAGGATAGATCTATGGGCTACAGCAACCATTTACCATCAGATGGACTGTGTGCTCGTTTGTCACCATATCCTATCAAAAAAGCCCAACGAAAGCTGATAAGACAAATTATAATAGTTATAAGACAAATACTTCAATATATAATACTAGACTTCAGACTAATAATTCAAAACATAAACTGTGTGACAGCTGTAAATAGAGTGGTCACATCTCGCCGGCACCTGCTGAGGGGGTAGCTGGCAAGGTAATTATGTCTCGCAGTTGTATTTTCATTTACATGACATGGGCATAGGCCCAGCTGTGGGACGTATATAGGCAGTTACTTTAACTTTTTAACTTTAAAGTCATTAAAATTTTCTCATATTTACTTTACTTTGATTGGTACAGACGCTTTTTACGACATCCACGGGACGGGCAGTGTAAGAATATCATCTACCCCATATCGTAAGAGGCGACAGAGGGAAAATGAAACAGGAGATGGCCTGCGGCATCTTCCTGATAACAGAAAATATTAAAAAAACTGCAGATGACAACCCGCTTGCCAAGCGTGGCAACTATGGCAAAATCCCCCAATGAGGCAATTTATGAAGGAGGCCTATGCTGAGCACTGGACTTTGATAGGATGTAATGGATGGATAGATTGAAGGGAATATGTACTTCGCTTATACGTATCTATCACGTGACGTCAAAATCAGCGATTAAGAAAGAAAGATAGAGAAAGATTAACTTTAACTGAATTTCATTTGTCAGTGGTGCCGACGCGTATCAAGCTTGATTGCTCGTACGTTATGAAGTCGATTACTCAAATATAAGTATACTAATTCTAAAGACAAGGTTTCAAGTAATTGATATCGTGGTAACTTTTATTGAAAATTTAAAATATTGGCCACTTAATCTTGTGAGGTACGGCTATTCCTTAACTCAGCTATCACCAGACCCTTCGAGTGGATGATCCTGACCACGATCTTCGCAAACTGCATAGCCCTGGCTGTCTACACACCATACCCTAGCGGAGATTCCAACTACACCAACTCGGTTCTGGTAAGTCTTTATCAAACTCTGTGCGACCAGTATCGCCTGTGTTACGAAATTCGATCAAATCAAGTGTATAGAAACAACGCTATTATTTTTTATATATTTTCCCCTGCAGGGAAGGCATAGGTGTCTTAGCTCATACAGCCATGTGATCAAAATGCTTTCATTTAATTGGACAAAACGTTTCCTATGGAATAATCATACACCAATTATATTTTTTGCGCATCTCTAGCACAGTAACCTCTAAATGATATATTTAAGTTTCATTCCTCTCCTTATAAAATAAATAATAAAAAAGGTACTAAAGGTAAGGTAAAGGTACGGTAATAAATTTTATTTGCCAATTGTATATGGTTTTATCACCTATATCTGACACACGTATCGGAAAATGAGCCCTTTGACAATACACTTATATTTCCCTCCAATGCAGAAATGACAAAACCACATACAATTTGCAAATGAAAATTTATTTAATTTTTTTATGGTCACGTTTTCTGATGTAAAGTTATTTCTATAGTTTGAATACTGATTCTGATAACACACTTAACGGGAACTACAGTGTTTTTGTTACATGTTCTATAACTTTACCTTTCCAGGAAAAAATCGAGTACATCTTCCTTGTTATATTCACGGGCGAATGCGTGATGAAAATCATCGCGTACGGCTTCGTGATGCATCCAGGTTCCTACCTGCGGAACGGCTGGAATTTACTCGACTTCACGATTGTCGTTATAGGGTACGCTATTTTCTTATCCTTTAAATCAGTTTTCATAGACTTCTTTTGTCAAGGAAGTTGCCTTGGATGCTCGTGTTTAAGGCCACTAGAACAATAACCACTGCCCGAATCTTAAAAAATTAAAAAGTCGGTAAAAGTCTCATTACCACATTTTTATTACGAGTAAGTCACTTTCTTGTTTGTTTGTCGTTCTGGGTGGAATTTATTAGTTGATTTTAGACTAACACCGATGAGCTAAAAACTTGAAATTTTGAATGTAGATCAGATTCGGACGACAATGTAAGAATATGATAAAAAAACGTGGTCAAAAAAAGTGATAAAAGATCGCTTGTTTATAGTTTTTTTAGTAGAATATGTAAAATATGGGTGACAAACGAGCACACAGTCCACCTGATTGTAGTTCCATATACATTTACATTTATCCTCAATTAAGAATCAAAATGCAAATGCTTTGTTACCCCTGAGGACATAGATGAAATGCCTCGTTTCCAATAAAAGGCTATCCGGTTCTCTACACTCACCATACGAAACACAGCAGCGTAAGCTGCTATTTTACGCTGGTATTCTGTGAGAGCGTGATCCATCGATGGTCATCGGTCAGTCGCATCCGTGCTACAACCATAATAAAGCTGCAGCGTGTTTCTGCCACGTAGGCGTAGCTCTACGTGTTAGAGCCATGCGTATATGGTAGTATTATTACATAGACTTTTATGACCTTACAATCGTACGGAAAGGTTAGAAAATTATTACACCCTTGCTGTAATCATTACGAAAAATGGTTATGTATGGGAAATTGTGAAAGAGTTAATGATATCTTGCCTAGCCTATCGCCAACGCAAGTACAGACCTATCCTATTATTCGCCTTTCACTACATGCAATGCAATTAACATAGTACATTCAGTTCCAGACCCTAGTAATAAATTTTTAAACTTGCTTGCATCTGTTTATTTGCAGAATGGTAAGCACGGTGCTGTCGAGTATATTCAAAGATGCCTTCGACGTGAAGGCGCTCCGCGCGTTCAGGGTGTTGAGGCCTCTGAGGCTTGTTTCTGGAGTGCCAAGTAAGTATCCTATAGATTTCCACCCACCCAGTCCAACCTATAAAGTTTCACTACTGAACCTTCTGAGGCCTTTCGCATAGAGTGCCTTAATGGAGGGACGCACTTTTTACTTTAATAAATGGTAATGAGTAAAATAATATATAAAATTAGGTTATTCCCAATTTCGCCAACCCCTAGTATACATTTGCGACGGCGTAAATACCTACACGGGCGGCGGCATCGGATGACATCAAAGGCGTTTCCTAACTGTATGTCTCTTTAAACTGTGGTACTAGCGCCCCGCACTGGCTTCATCTTGGTAGAACTATTAATATGGCTTTTTTTAGATCTAAGATAATCAAAAGAGCAACTTTATCAATTTGTCGATATTTTCAAAAAATCTGATTGAATATACCCTTAGCATTGTCCTATAATATCTGTCCGTGAAATTTCATCACAATCGGTACAATCATTTCGTAGATTAGCCCAAACAGATAGATAGACAGTCAAAAATTTTAAAAATGGTTATCCATGTCCAAATAAGACCAATAAAAGGCAGTTATATCAATATTATGGACGACATGCACGCTCAGTTCAACTGATCATTCCAACCGAACAGTTCAAATTAGGACTGTTGATATTTTTTTAAATATCGGATTTTTGATAAATAAACATATATGTCGCAGTGCCTCTGTGGGTAGTCGGAATTATTCTAAACAACATGTGCACCGCACACCTGCGCATTGCACCTGTAGTGGCGCTCGTGTAGCTACTTACCTCGATTGTATAAAATGGACGGAGCAGCCGCCTTTGAAGGAGTCTTGGCGCTGGCGTGGCACGGTTTACATGTTGTATCCCGTTACTAGCTAATACTAGACTATTCGGATAATTAATTCGTGGAAACGAATTCATTATTATTATCAGCATAAACTATTAAATTAGTCTCAGTACAATTTATAGTTGATTACCTGTGACTCTTGTATTTTTTGATTGTAAATTAATTCTATTTAACTACCTTCCTACATAAGCCGTGGTAGCTCAGTGGTTAACGCTCGCTGTAAATATAACAGAACGCGAGAGTAACCCGGGTTCGATCCCCGCCGGCACCAATGAAATTGTTAATTGCAATTTTAAGTGCTGATTTACCACGTGCTCGGCGGTGAAGGAAAACATCGTGAGGAAACCTGCATGTCTGAGGAATAAGAAAAAAAAAATATTTCGAAAACATGTGAAGTTCGTCAACACGCCGTGGCAGCGCGGCGGACACTTCCTTGCCCTAAACTCTCTCAGAAAATGAGGGGAGGCCTGAGCCCTGCAGTGGGACGTATAAAGGCTGTAACTTTACTTTACTTACTTTTACCTTCCTACATATATAAAACTCCGATACTGATACATTTATAATTATCGAAAATCCGATATTTAAAAAATATCAACAGTCCTAGTTTGAAGTGATCAGTTGAACTGACCATGTGTGTCGTCCATTAGAGACAGACACATTTAATTTATATGTGTAAATTAATAGAGGAAACCTTCTCCAGGCTTACAGATAGTGTTGAACTCGATCCTGAAGGCCATGGTGCCGCTCCTGCACATCGCACTGCTGGTCATCTTTGTCATAATCATCTACGCGATAATCGGCCTCGAGCTCTTCTCCGGCAAAATGCATAAGTCTTGTTATAACAGACTAACAGGTGCGTACCCCGTTAATTATATCTAGTGTTTAAGCTTTTACTCGCGACTTCATCCAAGTAGAAATTAAAAATAAAATAATTGCTGGTCCATAATAGTGGTCTTTCAAACAAGTAGTTAAATTATATAACCATTTTAAAATTAGATTTTTTCTATTATTTTGAAAATTATGTTATTCGATTTGTAAAATTGTTTAAAATAAAAATTGAAGCTCTAGTGATAGTATTCGCGGCGGCCAGTCTCCACGAGGACAAGCCATTGGCGCAGGACAGGATTATAGTGCCCGAGTGTATGCGCAAGTACAGGTGCACTCTCTATTCCCTCACTCTCCGATGGGACGGCAAATCGCTACACAACTGTAAAAAGATCAGACGCAGGACCAAGAGCTTTACGTGCTTTCCGAGGTACGGGGGTGAAACACTACCATCGTCCTGACTCCCGGCTGCTACTGAGAATTTATTGTCGGAAAACCCCAATAACTGATTTTGATCCGACCCTGGATTCTAACCCGGGACCTCAAGATTATCAGTCACGTTTATGACCACTAGACCAACTACGAGGCAGTCAAAAGTTCTAGTATTAAATTCATGTAAAAAAGTCCTATCGCCTTATCCCCTTCACATTCATAGTTTTGTTATATTTTTTTCATAAAAAAAAACTTAGAAGACGAGGTGTGTGGACTTTTAGAATGTCGAAAACTTTTTAATATCTTTTATAGCTTATGAGACAATCCTCAGAAAACATTTATTTTATCAGTTTTTCGGTTTCACAAAAAAGTCTTATATTTTTTGGAAAATATAGCCAAGATCATTTCTGACATTATTTTCTATCTGTTCATAAGATATTATCACAATTGGCTTTAAATTTAAACATTCCGAAGATCAACCCGCATAGACTGACCAAAATTTAAAAATTGTTATTCTTAAATAACATTACAATGAAACAATTTAATTTTAGTAGTGTAGTAGATTTAATTATATATTATTTGTTTACCTTTTTATATAAGTTATATATACTTGGTAGAGTCATGCTGCAGTTATATTAGTAGTAGAGTTGTAGCACGAATGGGTTGACTCGACCGGGGAAGGTCCATGCTCTCACAGAATACCAGCGTAAAATAGTAGCTTAATGCTGCTGTGTTTCGTATGGTGACTGTAGAGAACTGGAGACCCTTTTACTGGAAACGAGGCATTCCATCTTAGTCCTCACCTCAGGGTGACAACACATCTGCATTTTGATTCGTAATCGAGGATAGATGTAGATGTCTATGGGCCACAGCAACTACTTACCATCAGATAGACTGTGTGCTCGTTTGTCACCCTATCTTTTAAAATGGAAAAAAAACCTAAGAGTCAATGCAGCGAACGTGATAACTTATTTTTAAAAGATGTATTCCATCTCATTACCTGTCAAAACTAAAAATAAATTTGAATTTGAATCAGGTCTTGCTAGCACGTAAATCGTCCACTGAATTTAAAAGAACCCAGTTATTTCGATATTTCGGATACTATTTTTACTATGTGCAAAAATGTATAGATTACCTCTCTAGGCACCCTTTTCAACCGATTTCAAAAAGGAGGAGTCACTCAATTCGACTGTATGATTATTTCTAAGTGTGTTACCTCAAAACTTTTTTCTGGTTGACCGGTTCTGATGATTCTTTATTTATTTGAAAGCTAGTGCTTCTTGTGTGGTCGTTATTATTCAACTGACTAATTTAATTGAATTTTTGACTTATTTTTAATAATGCGTATTGAATATTGGCGTTAAATAGCAGATTAATGCTGCTGTGTTTCGTACGGTGAGTGTAGAGAGCCGGAGTCCATTTTACTGGAATCGAGGCATTCCATCTTAGCCCTCTGAGGTGACAACGCATGTGCATTTTGATTCTTAATCGAGGTTAAATATAAATGTCTATTGGCCACAGCATCTACTTACAATCAGGTGGACTGTCGACTTTCGACTACATTTATGATGTTCTCATTTTATTTATATTGAAGTCTGTAGTACGAAATTCTTAATTTTACTACTTGTATATAATACGGAAGCGACAAACGGACTTACAATTCGTAATACCACCTCGTGGTATCTACTACAGCCCATGGACACCAATAGCCAACTTCAGACAAAAGACTAATGGACAACACACACGGTCAGTTCAACTTATCATTCCAACTGATCAGTTGAAACTAGGACTGTTGATATTTTTTAAAATATCGATTCTTGATGTCATCAAATACTGTTCTCATCTCTGGGTCGAAGCACCCTAGTGCCAGCTCCTTCCACTTGACTGCATGCAGCGCAGACGGATTCGACTCGTCCACAACAGAGTTCTTTCTGATCGGCTCGATTCACTGGTGCTGTGTAGGGACGATGCATCCCTTTGCGGTTTCTGTCGTATCATGGGGAGTGTTCTGACGAATTGTTCAGATTATTTCCAGTCGCCAAATTTCACATAAGAGTACGCACCTCACGTCAAAATTCCCGGTATCATCCTCACCATCTGGATGCTTGGCGGTCCACTACTGTACGTTTTACTAGGAGCTATCTTTCTCGTACAACTTCTCTGTGGAAAAAAAACCGAGAGACAACTTTATCCAATAACCAAACCTGTTTCTGTTCACCCAGCGATTTCTATTCACCCCATTTTACGTTACCACTATAATTTATTTTACCATTTAATCAAACGGCTTTTTCAAAAACTAAGTTTTTTTTCTTTAGGCGAGATCATGGACTCTCCACATCCATGTGACAACGACACCGGCTTTAATTGCTCCAGCATCGGCGAGGATATGGTGTGCCGCGAAGGATGGATCGGTCCAAACTTCGGCATCACGAACTTCGACAATTTTGGCCTTTCTATGCTCACCGTGTTCCAATGTATCACACTGGAGGGTTGGACTGATGTTATGTACAATGTAAGTTAGTGTTATTGTTTTTAGTATAATAATGTTTGAGAAATTATTTTTATTTCCATATTTTGTTATCTTATTGAAAGAGTACGAGTGCGAATAAAAGTACAGAAATAATTCAACTTCGACTAACAGTTACTATTACATGATTCATATTTGTAATTGATATCACTTGTTAAAACTCGAACTTCATTTTTGTGATTTGGATAAACACTAGTATAAAATTACTTATTTTAAATTTTTATTTACTGACTTGTTTCGCCTTACGGCATTATCAGGGTATGTATACCCAATGTATACTTGATGATGTAATACGAAACCGGTCGGTTTTTATAATTCGTAATTTAAAAATTTAAATAAATATTGTAAAACAATTACATGCTACTATAGTACGTGAGGGTAATATGGTCATCCGGTTAATATGGTCACTTTCTTGTAACTAAAAACTACAGCCTTGTTCACAAAAATGCCTCTGTGATACGATTGTTTTTTATCAGCCTATCGAACAATAAAAGGTCAATAAGGCGCTGCTTTATCAACGCCGTTTGGTATATGTCGCAGCGCCTATGTGGGTAGTCGGAATTATTGTAAACAACACGTGCACCGGCACCTGCAGTAGGCGCTCGTGTAGCTACTTGTCTCGATTGTATAAAACGGACGGAGCGGCCGCCGTTAAGGCAGTCACGGCTCTGGCGTGGCACGGTTCACTTGTTGTATACCGCCACTGGCTCAACTAGAGGGTAAATTCGCGAATTAATTATTATTATCAGCTATTAAATTAGTGATTGTAAACGAATTCTATTTACTTACCTTTCTACATATATATTTTCTAATAAATAATATTATAGTTAATATTTTAGTTCATTTTAGTATTGTGTAGTGTAGTTAATTTTTTTAAGGATTTTTCGAAGTGTCCCTAATTATTGCTACAGCTTGTTTGCTATTTTATGCTTAATATATTTGTCATAGTATGCGACTTTGAATTTTTGTCTGTATTCCTCCCAGTTTTAGTTTTATATGGCGACAAAGCTTAAGGTGACCTTAGTACACTCACGTACCTTGTACTAACTTTAAAAAATATATACGTAAGTCAAAAAAGCTTTCTAATGAAGAAATGATACTATCAATTATACGATTATTTAAAAGCTTACTTAGACTATTTCGCTTATGTGTAAGGTTATACTTTGTAACTCTAGAGAAGAAATTAGTTTACTTGTGAGTTTCTCGCCGCTTCTTTTCACAAGATCTCCCCGCAGTAGGAACTTGTTGAAGAGATAGTGTAGCAATTTGAGTTTCATAAAGTGCTTTTTAAAGTCCAATTTTGAAGAAATATATTTGTCTTTAATAAAAAAACCATTATTTCCACGTTGTCTTAGTATTGTAATACGACTGCGTGTTTTAATATATGTTACGCGATAATTGTCGTTAAATGTAAACCTCTGATTTATTAAAGCGGTTAATAATTATTAGTTAATTTAGTAATTTAAGGGTTACCCCATAAAAATTCTAATAGCTATTATATACTGGTATTCTATGTTGTCGTGGTACTTTCACGATAGTTCCGACCTATATCTAGTGCTGTAGCCATAGTAATATACCATGGAAACATGATTTTTTTTTTTCAGATACAAGATGCAATGGGGAACAGTTGGGAGTGGATATACTTCATATCGATGGTGATCTTGGGAGCGTTTTTCGTCATGAACCTAATTCTCGGTGTGTTATCAGGGTAAGTTTGTCGTATGACATTTCACTATGTAGCATTATGACATTCATTAAAGTCGAGTAGAGAAGTCAATGAAGTCAGATAATTACTTAAGTTTTTGAAGTGAAACATCTATTGGAGCTTCATAACAGTAAACCCGACTCGTATGTCGTGAAGGCAAACGCCTTGACGCCCTCTTATTTTTTTATAAAATAATACTAACATTTTTTTTCTTTATTTCACCTCTTATTTCTTTATTGATTTTTTCTGTAATGGATGATGGATTTTTTTATAGGATAGATGCGTTGTCACCCGTAAGGACTAAGATGGAGTGCCTCGTTTCCAGTAAAAAGGGTCTTCGGTTCTCTACACTCATCATACGAAACACAGCAGCATTAAGCTACTATTTTACGCCGGTATTCTGTGAGAGCGTGGTCCTTCCCCGGTCGAGCTGACCCACTCGTGCTACAACTATACTATTAATATAACTGCAGCATGGCTCTACCACGTATGATATGGCTCTACCACGTATAATATGATGGATGGTAAATTAAATGTTTATATCACCGCCTGTAGGAAGCCATAAAATTTTTCGGGCGTATCCCATAGTCACCTCATACGACCCACAAAAAAACGCCACTACATGCGTGTTATTTTAATATAGTGAGTATTTATTTACGTTTTTCCCCAGAGAGTTCTCCAAAGAAAGAGAAAAAGCAAAAAACAGAGGAGACTTTCAGAAGTTACGGGAGAAGCAGCAGTTAGAGGAAGATCTAAAGGGATATTTAGATTGGATAACACAAGCCGAGTATCTGGAACCACTAGCCGACCAGCACGACACAGCAGACCAGAAAAGAAAAGATTTATATAAGTAACACCAAAAAAAAAAACCCTGTGACAAAAAAAAAACCAACCAAACAAAAACAAAAAAACAACAAAGAAAGAACAAACACCCCCCAAAAAAGGTAAAAAAAAAAGAATATGGTATGTTTATTTTCTTGTACGTACATAGTTATTGTAAAGTAGGGATATCGATTCACTCTCTGACAAAAATTCGATCTTTAATCAATTCGGATTTAAGGTAAAACCAATCGACTACCGATTCTATATTTAAATTAAAGATTGATTTTTGAAGAAATTAATACATCTAGAACAATTCTCTTTGAATAAAACCGGTTTAAATATAATAATGCAAATTTCAAACATAAAACTATGACAAGAAAAGGTATCTAGCCTATTTAAAAAAAAGGAATCCTAATCTAGCTATAGTGCACATGTGTTCAATTATAGCTGTAATGATAGATGTAACTAGTGTGATTTGCCTTAACGTGTATTCTAAATCTAGCATACACATATTAATCTTATCTATACTTCATGTTACATATATAATTTAAATAAGTATAATAATTCCAAATCAATCCAAAATACAGATTTGTTTAAGGAATAATGGCGACCAAGAGCTCACAGTTCACTTGATGGTAAGCGGATGATGTAGTTCATAGACATATACATTTATCGTCGATTAAGAAAAAAAATGCAGAGAATTTGTTACCAGAAATACGAAACTCGGCACTATTAAGCTGCTAATTTACGTTAGTGTTCTGTGAGAGCGTGGTCCTATCTCAATAAAGCCGACCGTAATATAGCTGCAGCTTGGCTCTACCTAGTGGACAAGATATGTGATAGAAATTAATCTTCTACCAGTCATTATCTATTACATCGTGTGTCTTGAAACTTAATCAAGGATTGATGTCAATGGGTGCGTTCGGCAGAAAAAAGCGCTAGCAAGCGCTTGTAAGCAAAATGGCGATCGTAAGCGGTAAGCGCTGTCAAATCGTAAGTAGCTATTTTCCTCCAGGACACGATGTTAGTTTTAACCGGGGAACCTAACCTAATTTAAATATATGTTTGTAAAGTATTCATATTAAAAACTTACCAATCATGAATTTTTAATAGCATGTATATGTTTATTCATGTCATCATATTACTTAAAACTAATATTGCATAAAATAACTTTAAAACTCTACTTCAAAACAAACAAATTAAATAAGCAAAATGGCGGATTGTGTCAGCGCTACTGAAGTAGCAATCGTGTCCTGGCCGAAAACTATTTTAGCGCTTATAAGCGCTTGCTAGCGCTTTTTTCTGCCAAACGCACCCATTGTCTATGGGCCACAGCAACCACTTACCATTTCAGGTGGACTGTGTGCTAGTTCGTCACACCTACCCTATAAAAAAATATCAAGAATTTCGATCCATCTGCATAGTTCTTAGCTATGGTTGGACCTGGTAAATGGCGCTGTTGCTGAGATTCAAAAATAATGCATGAGAAGCTAGGACGAATCGCTAGTCTAATAAATAAATTTGAAAATTTGTTTGAATTTTATGCGCAGTCATACCGTTCATCAGAATGCGGTAAAATTTGTCAACTTATTGCTTGCACTTGTGCGAAGGTTAAAAGCACAAACTAAAAGATCAATAAAAACCCGCGTTAAAGAACATATAGCTGATGTGAAGAATCGACGCTCCGGGAAGTCTGCAGTCTGTGAACACTTACAAGATCGCCCCCGTCACTACATCAGATTTGATAGACCGCAGATCCTCGCTAAAGAATACCGATTCCTTCCAAGGATGATTCGCGAGGCTATTGAAATCAAAAAACATCCTAATTTCAATAGAGAAGATGGCTGGGTGCTACCATCTGCTTGGGATCCTATAATAAATAAAATTAAATCCCAACCCAAGCATACAATTGCAAGACTTCAAGATACCATAAGTTCATACTGCATAGATCGGAACAAAAGTTAAATTTTAATCTATGTTAACCGCGGTTAACTATGACATATGGACGTTGAACATCTCAGTCCTGCCCGTGACCATGAGTGCTGTAAAGCGTTCGAAACGTCGGGTATTTAAAAAGTTAAATATACGCGATAAATTCCGTAAAAACTAGTATTTTTTCAATGTATTATCATTTCTAATTAAACAATACAACTCTTACACATTTAAACGATATTACCATTCTTCTACGACAGCAACGCTCCCGGTACCCGCTAGTTATACGTAAGTAAAGTAAAGTTACAGCCTATATACGTCCCACTGCTGGGCACAGGCCTCCGCTTATTTCTGAGGGTTTTATGGCAAGGAATTGCACGCCGCGCTGCCCAAATGGCAGCAGACAAGATATGTGAAGTCGTGTTGGCGAACTTCACATATCTTCGAAATATTTTTTTTTGTTATTTCTCTGACATGCAGGTTTCCTCATGTTTTCCTTCACCGCCGAGCACGTAGTAAATCAGCACTTAAAATTGCAATTAACAATTTCATTGGTGCCGTCGGAGATTGAACCCGGTTTGCTCGTGTACTGTGAAATTTACAGCGAGCGCTAACCATCTGAGCTACCACGGCTCTTTTAGTGTAGTTATACATGTCGTAGGATAATTAGGTAAAACGAATTTTCGGAAAAAATCTAGGGATATCGCGAAAACACGGATAATTAGATGATTGGTCGAATCTGTTCTGAAACTGAATCAGCACGCCTCGACTCCAAGTAGTCTTGTAGTTCTGCCCTACCCCTAGAGTGTTTTTTTAGGCCGTAGGCACGGAAAGAGAGGAATAAGCGGGGTAATTGGTGAGCATGGGTGACTGTGTTTTGCTACGCAAAGGCGAAGGGGTTGCACTTCCCGCAGCGCCGAAGCTGTTACAGAAGTAACTTTGGGTCAATGTTTCTGTGTAAAAAGTGAGGTTATAATTTTACAAAGAAAATCATTACCCATAAACTATAAGTCTGTAAATCAAAACCAGTCCAATCAGAGTTAAGTATATTCAAAGTTGCTAAACCCCTAATCCTTTTTCAGTAAGAATGAGAAATGTCATAGCCATTATCTAATTATCCGTGTTTTCGCGATATCCCTAGATTTTTTCCGAAAATTCGGTTTATCTTATTATCCTACGACATATATAAAATTTCGATGTGCGTGTGTTCGTAATTATTCTCTAAAACAGCTTGACCTATTTTGATGAAATTTTTATGGGGTACTTATGAGCTCACCTAGATAGTTCTTAACCATAGAATACTATAATACACAATAGAATGGCTGTCAACCTTATTTTGTAAGAGCGTTGGCGTCGCCGAGAGCACACATACAAGCAATTACGTCGTATTATCAGTTAATCACTACTACAAACCCGATTCGCTGTGTTGATAGACTGATTTTAATACATATTTATTTGTAAATAGGGTACAATTCGACATTTTCTAAATAATTTGCTTGCGAAATTTTGAAACGATTGTAACGTAAAAACACCTCGTGTTGACAGTTATACGTGTGAATTGACGTGTTAGTGGCATTTTAGTGGCTACACGGGCTCCGCCCACTCCCTCGTTCTATTATGTATGCATTATAGTATTCTATGTTCTTAACTATAGTTAGACTCAGTAGTATAGTCTATTTTATATAATAGTACCAAAAATGAAAAAAGTAATATCCACAGGTCAGACACCAAACGAAAACGACTCCACTGACAACTTAGGCATCGAGATGACTGAGCCGAAAAAGAAGGTGTCAATTGGTGAATGTTGGAAGAATGATTTTGATAAAGTAAGTAATATAATGATTTTTTATATTTACGCGAATAGTAACACTACAACACCTTAAGTAAAATTAATTTTACAGATCTCATCGCGTTTAATTCTAAAATATTTTTAATATCGACTTTTCGGGTACAGCCTTGGTATTGTTGATTTAAGGGTACAGCGCTTATTGTCACGGGTAGACGGGATGATTGACGGGCTTAAATATGATTGAAAACTGCATAATATAATTATTTTTACGTGGTAGACCCACGCTGCAGCTATATTATGGTTGTATCACGAATGGGTCGGCTCGACCGGGGAAGGACCACGCTCTCGCAGAATACCAGCGTAAAATAGCAGCTTAATGCTGATGTGTTTCGTATGGTAAGTGTCGAGAACTGGAGACTAGTTTTACTGGAATCTGGGCATTGCATCATAGTCCTCAGGGGTGATAACGCATCTGACTCTTGATTCTTAATCGAGGTTATATGTAAATGTCTATGGGCCACAGCATCCACTTACCATCAGGTGGACTGTGTGCTCGTTTGTCACCCTTATTCTACATTTAAAAAAAATAACTGAATTTCGAATACATTGATCATGTTCTCATTTTATTTATACTGAAGTCGGTTGCATAAAATTCTCAACTTTTCCTCTTGTATTTAATACTGAAGCGTACCCTTATTTTATAAAAAAAAATACGTGTGGCACTCGGTGACTGCCGTGGTAAAGCTATTGCATAGCATTTTTTATCAACTTATGCAATTATAATTATTTATTTATTTTATTTATGCAGTTAAGTCTTTGATATTAAATCAAGTTACACTTTTTGAGCGTAGTGACCGATAAGAAAACAATTTTTTTTCTCTTATTGAATAAATGAGAAGTTAATATTGTTTAAAATATTTTTAATATCTTACAATACACGTAGGTTATTCAGGAATTTTTATCATTGAGTTAGCAGCTAGCACGCACACAAACACCGTGCCGAAGTCTGCCGAACTGAAACGACGTTAGACTGATGTTAGCACAGGCTTTCAACGCCACACCTCCGTGCCCGTCGGAATGGGGAGCGTGAGGTTTTTTTCGTTACGGAATTTCTGGATTCGGTCCCCGCGCTCAAGGCCCGCGATTGTAGCTATGCAATAGCTTAAAAAATATAATCCATAAAATTAGTTAACTTCGATTCAAATTAACAGTCCATCAGCCCATACTAGATGGAGTGACGATCTGGTAAGATATGCAGGAAGTCGATGGATGCTCGTGCTTCAGGAATATGATTTGTAGCATTTCTTTGGGGATGTTCAGCGATGGACTTGTGAAGGGCTGTAATGATAACGGTGGTTGAACTGAATTATTGGCACAAATATAAATCGCTGAGACATGAAGAAATATTAGTGCAATTTGCTGTAGAAACTATTGCTCCATAGGGTCCAATCCGTCCATATGGTGGTTCCTAAAGGAACTGCATCCGCCACTGGTGGCAAGAGTGCTAGTTCTTCCCCCCTCAAAAACCATTTAGCGAGGAGCATTCTCCACGGTGTACCACGGGGAATGTATGATAATTTTATTAATTAGTTTTTTTTTATAATTAGAATATTTTTTCTACTTCTTATAAGCCAGTGCTTACTATATACAAATATTAAGTGTTATAATATTTTTGTAAATAAATATATTTAATAATGTCCTCCAGACCGAATTTCGGCCACGGCGGGATTCCTCAACGGAGGCTAGCCGTCGGCGCAGGACAGGATTATAGTGCCCAAGTGTATACGCATGCACAGGTGCACTCTCTATTCCCTCACTCTCATAATTCGATGGGGCGGTAAACGGACACGGCCGGAGAGAGATCAGGCTCAGAACCAACGGCTTTACGTGCTTTCCGAGGCACGGGGGTGAGACACCGCCGACTTCCTGACTCCGGGCAGTTACTGAGAATTTCTTGACAGAAAAACTCAATAATTGATTTTTTAGTCCGGCCCAGGATTCGAACCCAGGACCTCATGAGCAGCAGTCGCACTACTACACCCACTAATGCCACGAGGCAGTCTGAATAAATATAATTGCTCTTTTAAAATAAAATATATACTATTAAATCTATTTTATTGTACTTAGCTAATTTATATAAGCTCAAGTTCTCTCAGCGAGCTATGGAGATAACTATGCTCGGGGTGTCTCTGCGTGATAAACTTAGAAATTAGAATATCCGTAGTAGAACCAGAGTAACCGACATAGCCCAACGGATAACGGAAGTGGTAATGGGCCGACAATATAGCTCGAAGAACCGACAACCGAAGAGGAAGTAAGGTTCTGGACGGTCTCGATCTGGTAAGAGGAGTGGCAGCCTCGTACTGGTAGGTGTGGGTTTTAAAGTTACTAGGTAAAATGTAGGGAACTACCCCCCACCAGGATTGAGTGACTACCTGGTAAATAAGACATGCAGGAAGTCGATGGATGCAGGTGGATCAGGACTGTGCTTTGTGGCATTCCTTGGGAGAAGTCTATATGTAACAGTAGACTTGAAAAGGGCTTTTAATGATGATGATGATTGCATGCATTTATATTTCGATATTATTCTAGGTGAATCGTCGCATGAAGCGCGCTTGCCGTCGCGCTGTGAAGTCGCAGACATTCTACTGGCTCATCATTATTCTCGTCTTCCTTAACACTGTAGTTCTTGCAAGCGAGCATTATCAGTGAGTATTGTCGTTAATTAATCGTGAAGTGTAAGAATTTATACGTGGTAGAGCCACGCTGCGGTTAAATTATGGTTGTAGCACGAATGGTTTGGCTCGACCGGGGCAGGACCACGCTCTCACAGAATACCGGCGTAAAATGGCAGCTTAATGCTGCTGTGTTTCGTATGGTGAGTGTAGAGATTCGGAGACCCTTTTTTACTGGAAACGAGGCACTCCATCTTAGTCCTTAGGGCTTAGGGGTGACAACGCATCTGCATTTTGATTCTTAATCGAGGATAAATGTAGATGTCTATGGGTCACAGCATTTACTTACCATCAGATGGACTATGTGCTCGTTTGTCACCCTTATTATATAAAACAGAACATCCACTACCCCATAACGTCCCGTGGGTGTCGTAAGAGGCTACGGGGGAAAACAAGTCAACAAACTGAGGTCAGCCCCTACTAGCATCCTAACATTGGTAATTTCAATTTTAAATGCTGATTTATTACATTCTCGACTGTAAAGTCCTAATGAGAAAACTATATAGATACCCCAAATAATAATAAGGCGGTGCTCCTCGATACCGCCCACATCGTCCGCCGGTTTCTTTCCCTTTCCCCCTAACCCTCGGCCGTTTGGTCTCCCCTGCCGAGAGCTTCCATCTGGTTGGGCTTTTATTTATTTATTTATTTTTGTATTTATTTTACTTCATTGATATTTATGTATATTTATCATTACATTTTCATTTATAATTATATATTTATAGAACCCAACCAGATGAAAAAACTATATAGATACCCCAGATAATAATAATAATATTTATTGAATCCAAACATACTTTACAAAAAAGACGTAATCTAACTCAAATACGTACCAAATAGAAAAAACAAAAACATAAAACAATTTTACCGAAATCAAGAAATGAACAAAAGAAGTCGGAAGAAGTAAAATAATTAGCTATGTGCTATGTTCTAATCCGACAAATGGCTCAATACTATTATAGCTAAATGTTTAATTGTATGGTACAAGAGTAAGGCAGGAGAGATATTCTATAAATCTGTCACAAACTTATATTAATATTCAAATATTATAGTAAACATTTACAAGAACTTATTCTATATTCCAGATAAAAATAATTGACACGTAGTGAGTAGTGACTCAGTTAAAATTTACATTTTAAAAAATTAATATGGAAAATGTTCATTTAATAGGTAGTGTAAACACCATTATCCTTGAAACCAGTAGTGTTTTCACATAGAACGTAACTTCGGTGAAAAATAACATTTTTTTTTTAACTCAACCTAACCTCAAGCCTGTCCTACCCCAATGAAAGTATGAAGGAAAAGTGACACACATGCCTATATGGAAGCACAGTGATTACGTCACTCTAGACAAATTTAGGAAGCTTTAGAAGAAGGTTTTTTTTTAAATTCATTGAATTTGCGTTCTATAAACCAAACCACTGGTTTCAAGTTTCATGTCTATGGATAGTAATAAAGATCCCACATTTCGTTACACGGTGGCCAATCTCATCGTAGGATTCTCCGCGGGACATGATTATAGTTCACGATTGTATGAGTGTGTATGTATATGCAAACACAGGTGCACTCTCCTCTTCTCACTCTCACAGTCCGGTGGGACGGTACCCTGACACGGTAGGAGAGAGATCAGGCGCAGGACCAACAGCTTTAGTGCTTTTTATGGATAGTATGGAGATGAACAAAACTGTGTAGATTACTGAAATAATTATAACTAGCAGAATGTTTCGCATTTGCCAGCTGCGTTATATTTATTAATCTTTTGTTACCACAATTTATTTCTTTTCAGACAGCCCGAATGGTTGGATTTCTTTCAAGAGTACGGCAACGCATTTTTCGTGGCCTTGTTCACGCTCGAAATGTTGGTCAAAATGTACAGTTTGGGGTTACAAGTGAGTTGATTAGTTTTTTATTTTATTAGTTAAGGTATTTATTCATTTTTCTACAAAAAACGCTAATAAAATTTGAATTATTAACAATTTGTCACTTTTTTAAAATAATAATTTTCACGAATACAATATCTTAAGGTGAAACCTACGGACTGCTCCCAGCCATTCTTCTGAAAGATGGCGCTAAAGTCAACATTTTTAGTTTATTTAGGTTTTTGTGTAATTGGAAAATTATTAAGTCGTAGGAGTAGACTTTGCGGTTATGGGATATTACATTTTATTGGAATGGGTTATATCATTGCCTCAAAATCCACCCAATTCGACACAAAGTGTGATTATAACATCTGTCATTGAATATAGTGTCGTTTACACACACAGACGTATCCCTACGTTTACGAAGTTTTTGCGATGCGTTTACGAAGCACTAGATGGCGTGTATGTAAAAAAAACAAGTTTTTAATTTTTCTGTATGTGTAGATTGGGTAGGCAGAACTACAAAACGCTATGTACCATTATTATAAAAATAAAAGTTATATTGGGGACTATTAATTGGTTTATAACTTGGGAAATAAATTATGTCAACATTGATTACAATATAACGCAGTAATTACATACTATTCAAACAAAAAAAGTGAACTCCAAAAAACACTGATGATTTGTAACAGTACCAATTATTACAATAATTAGACATTACATAACCAACACGTAAGAAACCATAATTCATAAACAAGAGATAACAAATCTACAATACGATTTAGGTATTTTGTGATAATAACCAGGAAGGTGAAAATAATATTTCTTAATTTAGAGGCACTCAACAAAAGCTTTTTGTAAAACAAAAATATAAAGATACAATATATATACAAATCTTCTTCTATATGAATTGGGTTACGTTCGGAACACAAGATCTAGAACACTAAAACGTACAAAAATTTACTTATCTTTTTATTTCAATGTTATCTCTATATTCCTGGTAGAGTTGGCCGACGAATAAGAAAAATATAACTTAGATTAGAATAAGCTATTTATTTATAAACAATAAAGCATGGAACAGAAAAAAAGGATTTTATGTAACTGAATTATATTTGTTTCTGAACGCACAATAACCGTGAACTGTATGACGTAGGTAATCAGTATTGTGACGATATTTCAGAAAAATCACGGGCCAGTCTGCTGTTTGTAATACCACTGAAAACATAATTGCGTTTTTAGAATAATTAGTTACTATACCTACGATAAATTACAATATAGTGTCAAATTCGATCGAAAATCACTCGAGATGCTAAGGGCTGGAGAGGGAGTGGTGGCAGGCCTGCTGTACACTTTGTTTTGAAACAAAAAGTCAAAGCAGGACTGCAAAAACTACCGTGGTATCAGCTTGCTTAGTATTGTGGGTAAACTGTATGGTAAGGTGTTAATTGAAAGAGTTATGAAAGAAACTCATGGAAAAATTTGGGATGTGCAAGCGGGTTTTAGAAAGGGAATGGGGTGTACAGATCAAGTCTTTTCCATGCGCATGATTGCGGAGAAGTTTTTGGCCAAAAACCAGAAAGTTTTTTGTGCGTTCATGGACTTGGAAAAGGCTTATGACAGGTGGACAGGAATGTGTTATGGCACAACACTGAACTCATATGGGTTGAGCGCTGGTTTGATACAAGCATTAAGGTCTCTTTATAGGGACTCTAGTGCTTATGTCAGGATCAATGGGGTCTACTCGGACTGGTTTGGCAACCAAAAAGGTGTCAGACAGGGCTGTGTAGCTTCCCCTTGGCTGTTCAACCTATTTATGCACAGGTGTTTGCAAACTTTGAAAGATGAAGAATGTGGGTTAAGAATGAGCGAGTTAACCGTCAAAAGCCTTTTGTATGCCGATGATCAAGTCATATTTGCGTCATCGCCGGCTGAGTTGCAAATGATGGTTACATTAATGAACTGGGAATTAAAAGAAAGGGGAATGAAAGTGAACGCAAGTAAGACGAAAGTGATGGTTTTTGAAAGAGAAGAAAGCAAAACGGTATGTGAAATAAGAATATAAGGAGAGTTAATTGAGCAAGTGGATGAGTTTGTGTATTTGGAATATGTATTTAGCAGGTATGGTAGATATGATAAGGATATAGAACGACGAGTAAATGTAGGGAATAGAGTGAATGGGGCACTACACTCTATTATGAAGAACCAGAATGTGTCAAAAAGGCACGTATGGTAATTCATAATGCTGTGTTAGTCCCTACTATAATGTATGGTAGTGAAAGCTGGGTGTGGCAGAAGAAGCACGAAAGTAGAATAAATGCTGTAGAAATGCGGTCTTTAAGGAATATGCTAGGGTTGAGTCTGTGACAGGTTGAGAAATTGCGTGATAAGAGAGAAATATGGTATGCAAGATGATGTTGTGACCAGGATTAAGAAAGGAATGCTTCGGTGGTTTGGTCATGTAGAAAGAATGAATGAGGAAAGAGTGACAAAGCAAATTTATATGGCAGATGTGAACGGCAGAGTTGGGAAGGGACGCCCTAGAAAAAAGTTTATCGACCAAATTGGCGATATTTTGAAAATGGGCCACGTTAGAAGTACCCTTAACTGACGAGCATGTATGCGTAGATATATGGATGTAAAGGAGGTGAAAGAGGTATGTCAGGATCGTGCCAAATGAAAGTCCGTAGTCTCTTCCTACCCCTCTGGGTGACAGGCGTGAGTGTTTATTATAGTCTCAAATATATACTAGAGAAATATTGCAATTCGAATGAATGAAAACATGCATACAAAATATGTATAATACTGTTGCGCGCCTAAGTTGACGTCATGTACCCGGCACTAGCGCCATCTAGTGTCGGGGACGAGATCGAGGAGCTTTCCAGAAAATGACATCACTAATCTTTCAACCGACAGCGCCATCTAGTATCGAAACGAAGAACTAAGCTTCTAGAAGCCCGATATCTCGAACTTTCGGCGCCTAGTCGATTGGCGCGCATATTTACTTGAATATTCTGGATGTTTCGGTGATAATGTGTATTTAAAGGCGCTGCAAGATGCGCTCGGGGAAGTATTGAATTTGGCGAGACAAGCGAAGCTTCGGAGCGAAATAAAGTGAATCAGTGTGATTAATTATTAGTGTTTTAAGTTTAATTAGTGTAAAGTGAATTAAAGTGTTAATTTTGGTAATTCAATCGGCAGTTTTTATTGTAACGAACCTCAAGCTCGTAACAATTGGTGTAAGAAGTGGGATAAAATCATGCCGATTTTACCCAAGGAGGAAACGGAGGGTGTCCGTACCCGAAGTCAACGCCAGCAGGAGACGGACAAGAGACGATTTGGTGGTGCAACGCAGCAGACGTCGGAGGGCCAGCCGCCGGCTGCATGCCCGTCAGTAGCTCATCTGCAGCACCTGACTAAGGTGCTCTGATGGTGATGCTGCAGGAGCAGGCTCGCCGACAGGAGGAACAGGTACGTCAGTTGAAAGAGCAGCTGCAGAGCGGACAGAAAGGAACAGGTCCGTCATTGAAAGAGCACTCCCAAAGGAACAGTTGGAAGAGCAGATGCTCCTTATGAGGGACCTTCATGCTACCATTTGGGAAAGAGATAAGGGAGGTGAAGGATAGGGTTGCTCAACATGACAACCGCCTGTCGGAAGCTGAAACCCAAATCAAGGAAGCTAAAACCCAAATCGACCAAGTGAACAATCGGGTTGATAACGTGATGGCTGACGTGAAGAAAACGCTGGACGACCTCAAACTTGGGGATGGAACAACAGCTCCCGTAGTAGCTACAACACCTTCGCTACGTGGATTCAAAGTGCCGCCGTTCGACGGGACTTCTTCCTGGTCGGCCTACAAAATCCAGTTCGAGGCCGTCATGGAGGCGAACGGCTGGAATAAAAGCCAAGCCATAACTGCACTCACCCTAGGCCTGCGCGACCAAGCCTTAACTGTGTTGGAAGCTCTCGGTAAGAAGGTGACTTATGAGCAGCTCCTTGATGCGTTGGAGGCGAGATATGGCAACACTCATCTGGAACACGTCTTTCGCGTGCAGCTTAAAGATCGCGTGCAACGCAGCAACGAAAACCTGCAGCAGTGGGCCCTTGAGGTAGAGAAGATGGTTCGAAAAGCATACCAGTCTGTACCTGCGCTCATTGAAGGGAACCTGGTTCAGACATTCATCGACGGCATCCACGACCTTAAAGTCAGAGCTGCTGTGAGGCTCGGGCACCACGAGACGCTCAAGTCCTTAAGCCTTGGCCCATGCACTGGAGGTGGAAACCGTGCGGCAGGATCTTCGCTCCCATCGCGTCAGGAAGATTGCAGCAGCTACGGTTCGCGCCCACAATAAAGGATACAGCCCTAGGTGCTATGGCTGTGGGGAAAGGGGCCATCTTCGATCCAGCTGCCCTAAGCGAACCGTAGAAAGGGAAGGTGAACGATATCAGGAGGGCGGTGCGGCTAACAGCCCCCCCGCCCAGCAGCAGCAGGGAAACGAGTAAAAGCCAGAACTGTGGGGCGGGTGCTGGCTGATGTTAAAAGAGCCCCAAGGATCTCGATCTCACAAACCTATGATGGGAACAGTCTGATCATCAAGGGCGAGGTCAACGGAATGCTGTGTAAACTGACCACAGATACTGGAGCCTCTCGTACGGTTGTTAGTTCCCAACTTATAAGTCAGTTCCTTGGGGACTCCGCATACAACCGAGAACGCATTAATTTAAACAGCCACCGGTCAGCGTTGACCCGTCCATGGAGATAAAGAGATGGAGTTGAAGCTAGGCAACATGATCTACCTGCATAATGTCATCATGGCTGATATAATGAACGACTGCATCCTGGGCCTAGACTTCATGAGGAAGAATTGTTGTGCGATTGACGTTAAGCAAGGTGTTTTGAAATGTGGACAAGAGGAGCTTTTTGTGGAAGGGGCATTACCAGGGAACGTGTACAGCCTTGAGAAGATTGTTCTTCCGCCGAGATCGGAAACGATTGTGCCGGTTAGTCTTCCTCGGAATCCTGGGCAACCTC